GAGGCATGCCTGCGCGCCGGGCATGGCGGAGCAATGCCAGTGGGATCGGCGACGCCGGTGGTGGTGGAGGTGGTCGTGAGAAGATGGAAGGGGGGCTGGTCGGGCAGTGGCTGGCCTTTTTAGGGAAGACACTTTGGCGCATGCACACACACACACACACACGCACATGAGACATGCGACCTCTCTGACGCGCTGGAGCGTGACCACTCGGTGCCCAAACGGGTGATACCCCTTCTTGGTATGTGCCCCGCAGCCAAGGATCTAGTTCGCCGGTGTCTGGAGGTGGACTCCGACCGGCGGATCACCGCGCGCGAGTTCCTCCAGCACCCCTGGTGCCAGGTGGCGGTGGCCGCGGGGCTCGCGGCCACCGGCAGCAGCGCCCCGGCCCATCTTGTCTCGGGCCATGGCCACGATCTGCCGTCGGTGGCCGCTCCGGGGGAGCTGCTGATCGCGGGAGCCCCGCCGCCCCCCTTGGCCGGGCAGGAGAACGGCCCGGCCGCGGCGGCCCGGCGCCCGCTGCTGGTGACGGCCGCCGGCCCGGTCCGGCCTCTGGCCCTCAAGATGACTGCTCCCGGACCGGACGGAGGTGCCGGCCTGGCGGGCGCCGGGCCCGTGGTGCCCGACGCCATCCGAGTGACCATCCCCCCCTCGCCGACGGATGGTCCAGCCCCGGGGGCCGGGAGTCTGCCCGGGTGGCGGCCCGGTCCGCCGGACGCCTCCCTCGGCTCGGATGCCGTTACCACGCAGATCGACATCTCGCCGGTGGCGGCGGCCGGCAGCGAGGCGCGCTTCCGCCATGTCGGGCCGCTCGGGTGGGACTTGACCATTCCGGCCTTTGACCGGCGCTCGGAAGCCCGCCGGCCGGCGGCGGTGCCGGCAGCCGCCACCCCGTCCGCGACTGCGGCGCCCCCTGCCCTCCGTGAGCATCAGCATCAGCACCAGCACCTGCCGTCGGCATCGCCGCAGCATCATCATCAGCAGCACCATCACGCGGCGGCGGCCTCCACCTCCTTTGTCATTCGCCGAGCGTCCTTCGACGACCCACCCCCGGCGGGGGGGGTGGCCGCTTCCCGGGGACCGGGGCTGCCTCCGACCCCCTGCGATGATGTGGCCGATGATGCGGCCCGCGCCACCGCCGGCCGGCATGGGGGGCGGAGGTCCAATACTTTGGCCAGCTCGGCCAGGCAAATGCCCACTCGCCCACGCGCCTGGCCGGGGGGCCGATCGTCACGCGCTTCCCCCTGGGCAGCCTCGTCACGGCCGTCACACCTGCACAGGCAGACGCCGCCAGCCCGACCGACGGTGGCCCCGGCGAGGAGCCCCCCCTCGGGCCGGTTCTTGTTCCCATGCAGTCGGGCTTCCAGCTCCGGGCCGACCTGTCGGCCTCGCATTTGCTGGTGAAGCGCGCCCAGCGCCAGCAGCAGCAGCAACAGCAGCAGGAGCAGCAGCAGCAGCAGCAGCAGCAGCAGCAGCAGCAGCAGCAGCAGCAGCAGCAGCAGCAGCAGCAGCAGCAGCAGCAGCAGCAGCAGCAGCAG